CAGACATAATTGTGGAAAAGTATAAACATCATGTGTAGCAAACTTTCATCGGTTAATCATAACATTAGGGGGTAACTAATACACAGAAAACAACAAAGATTTTCTTACATCCTATCATAATCATGAACACCACTCAATAATAAGAATTTAAGTTACCATTAGCAATTTCCATTAATACTTACCAAACTTAAATATCAAAAATCAATTATCAAAAATCATTCAACAACCTATGAGTTCACACCACCTACGTGTATGCATTTATATGTCAGTATGTTTTAACCTTTAGCTAGTTTATGTAGGATCCACGGTCTTTACTCCGGTCCATGGAGCTCTTCAATCTCTCACTCAGGGAGATCAGGGGATAGGATTTCCAAGGGGCCAGAGCTTGTACTAATTCGTAGGCAGGGGGCTGTGGATACCTACTGTCATTGGCAGTGGTAATGCACTTGAGACAGAGATGTCTAATGCAGGGGATGCAGCCGCATCCACAGAAGGTCAGCAGTGTGACTGCTGCCTCCAAGGATGTAAATACAGACATCACTACATTTTTCCACTTGCCAAAAGTATTATTAAACCAATCACCTTCAATATAATTAACAATACCAGAGTATATATAAACTTACCCATCATTTTTGCAATCTCAAGCTCAAATTCTGCAATTATTTTCCTTTGTGGGGAAAAAAAAAAAAAAGGTTGTCAAATGTTTTGAAACCGATATATTTAAATAGAATTTTAATTAAACCACACACACAGCTTACCTCAGTTCTTGACCATCTTCAAGCAGCTTTTTATACTTTGCATTCCATTGCTCTTCTTTTTCCTTTGTCTGTTTGAGAAAACACGAGTATTTATTCTAGAGGTTAAGTTTAATGAGTGTCATGTTTGGTATTACATGCTTGCGCCTAGTTCACAATGCACTGTGCTTGCTATAGATGAACCAGATTACTCTAAATTGTTTCAGAGGGGACTAAGGTCTAAACAGTCACCCAAACAAGATGACTTCCAGTAGAAAACCTCTTCTCGGTTTTAAACCTATTATTTGTCAAATAAGATATAGAGCAGGACGTACTTCAGCCTGGACTTTGGCAATGGCTGCATCCATGTCTTTCTGACTGTACTTCAGCACTTCAATGATTGCATCCTCTGTGTTTGCTGGCTGGGGGAAAGGAGGGATGAGGCTCTCGAGGACTGGACGAGTCTACGTGACAGTTACAGTGTAAATAAATCACGTTACAAGATGCATCAATAACGCAGTGAATGTAGGGAACTATTAGTTACAGACTCAGTCACTGGTAGATCATCTTACTGGTGCTGCAGCATCAAGTAGCTTGAAATCATTCTTTAGTGGCCTGTTTGTTCCCTCCTTTTCTATCATCTGTGGAGTTTCAAGCCTGAATTGGAGTGAAAAAAAAACAAAAAAAAGACACTTTCAGCTCTGATGTCAGGTGCCAGCAGGTGTCAATAAATCGAAACAGGCCGGTGTCATACCGTGAGGCAAATGCAGCAGGATGGGGGACAGGAGGCTGAGCAGCTGGGCCTGCAGACTTTTTTGGGCTCTCTCTCAGAAGGGGGTCAAATTTTAAATACAAGGATTGTTTCCTCAGTGCAGATTCCTTGAACTGTTGACAACAATAAAACATTTAAACACCTTTCCATGATGCGCTGACAATCAAAGGATGTGATTATTTAACATACATCAAGTTAGAACTTACATTGCTGGACCCAAACTGCTCAAGGTAGTCGATCTGTCCATCAAAGTCATTGGCCATGACTAGAGATAAGGTTCACAGATTAATATTAAAATGAGTTCACTTTTCAATATATGGAACAAAGCACAGAAGTAATTTAACTCCAATAGAAGCACAACAGACTTTCAAAATACTCCAGGTTTTGACTGCAATATTCAGACTAGACAAATCAAGCGTTGCTGCCCCTGTTCACTTACATGTTGCTCCAGGCACAAACTCTTCATTGTCTAACATGCCGGACTGTGACTTCTGCTCAGGCTGACACAGATCAGAAGGCTCAGGAAGACTCTGCACAAGCTGATCACCTTCAGGCTGACGTGCCTCATCATGGTCAGAAGCAGCTTTGTGTTCAGAAACCTGTTATCCCACAGCAATAAAAATATTTTTTGTGAAAGGACTGAGGAGCTGGAAATATATTAGGATTGTATCAAACAACATTATTTCTCTTACTGCTCCAGGGTTGAGTTCAGTTACTGGGACATTCTCTCCAACACTACAGAGGGCAAAAAACAAAAATACATACAGTTGAAATAGTGCTGCTGGCAAGTGAAGTGTCCACTACAAATAAATACTTGGCCCAGTCCATTAAAAATCTCACATACCAGGCTGGCGATGGAGCTTGCTTCTCCTCAGGCTGGTCAGCTTGCTCTGGAGTGGCAGCTTTCATCAGCACAGGGCTGGATTTCCTGCTGCACTTTGGAGAGTTGTTTATGCTTGTTGTTGTGCCAAATGGATTAAAGTTTGGGTCATCAGCCTTGTCAAAGTCAAATGTGTAAGAGTTTTTGGGAAGTGGTACATCAGCAACATCACTGGCATCAGGCTTCAGTGGAGTTTCTTTTGGTGGGTTGACATCAGATGGTGGCTTTCCCTCTTTAGACTTTGCACCACTTGGCCTTTTGACAAATTTCTTGGGTAGAGGTTTCTTTTTAACCTCGATGCCGTCATCAAAATTAAACTCGAGTTTGATGGGGCCTTCTTTGCTTGGGGCAGCAGCTGGCTGGGTTTCAGCAGGTTGAGGTCTAGCTGCATCAGAGGATACTGCCACTGCAGCTTCTGGCTTGACTTCAGGCTGAACAAGTGACTCTTGGACCTCCTCAGGAACATCTACACCATCTGCACATTTGTTTTTCTTCACCTGTGGCTCCTCTGCAGACTGGCTATTGTCCGGCACCTTTCTAACAAGACTAGGAGAATTCTGGATCTTAGAGCCACCAGTCTGGAAAGGATTAATTTCCTCCATGTTATCAAAATCCAAGTTATATGAACCTCTCTCTGGCAGTGGAGCATCTTCCACAAAACTGCCTGATGCTTTGTCTTGGTCAACACTTGAAGGCATTTTAGCAGGCTGCTTTTCATCTGGTGTTGCAGTCCAGGAATCCACATCTGGAATCCTCACCACTACGATCCCACTGCTGTCTGCGGAGCTGATGTTGGTGGAGAGGTCAACCAGTGAGTTTTCCACAGATGGGGTGAATGGAAGTGTCTCATCTAGTGTCGGCTCCGTCTTGGTAGACTCCTCTGAGACATGCTCTGGTTTTGTGCTTTGAGCCTCAGCTTGATGTGTAGTTGGGTTTTCAGCAGCAGGCCTCGCAGGAGTGAGGGCCATCATATTAGAGCTCTGAAATGGGTTGATAGCATCGAGGTTGTCAAAATCCAGCTGGTAGCCACCTTTGCTTTTAATTGGCATGTTGTCATCAGGATAAGATGATGCTTCTGTGGAAAAAGTCAAGAGGATTTCATCAATTTCTCAGCAGTCAGAAAATGTTAGAAGGAAATAACTGTCGTTTTGATAAATCACCTTGCTGGGGCTCATCAAGCTGCTTAGAGTTGTCTTGTGGCAAAACACTGCAAAAAAAAGTATTAATTCCTCAAATTAAACAGATATTTCATTAGGAGTGTGCTGCAGTAAAGGAAATGATACGTACTCTATTTTATCCAAATGTAATGACTCCTTTGCTGTTATACACTCATCCAGAGTTGTCATCTTGACAGACTTATTGGGAGATAGAATTCTTTTTGTCACAGGGTCTCTTCTTGGAGTGTGAAAACAAACCTACAAACAAACAATGTGGGAATGTTACCTGGACACACTTATTTACTGAAAGAATAAAAAAAAAAAACATTTTCACCATCCAGTCCTTTCAAAATT